ATGAAATTCACAATTTTGGTAAAGCACCTTAAGACCCTCCCATCTATGAAGAGTATTTGATTCTACCATATCTGGGCCTTGAGAAGAAGATTTTTGAAATTTCAGTCAATTTTACCCTTTTTGACCCTACCCATCAGCCCCGGGGGTCAGTAAGGGCTGATATGTGCATACCATCAAACTGCTACCCAATACTGATAATGCTAACCTAAATTGAATTACTTCCAATGGCAATTAAACAAATGTTGGTCCAAAATGTGATTTCCCTATATAAACTATAGTAAAGTTTATCCCCTCCCCAGGGGGAAACGTGAGACCCTAGGGTCAAGAAATTCACAATTTTAGTAAAGCACCTTAAGACCCTTCTATCTATGAAGAGTATTTGATTCTACCATATCTGGATCTGGAGAAGAAGATTTTTGAAATTTCAGTCAATTTTACCCTTTTTGGCCCTGCCCCTCAGGCCCCTGGGGGCTGGGGACCATATAATTCACAACTTTAGTTGACATTTGGCCATGGAAGGTTTCTGCAAAATTTCATTGAAATTGCTTAAGGGGTTTTGGAGAAGAAGTCGAAAATGTAAATTGTTTACGGACGACGAACAACGGACGACGAACGACAGACGGATGACGACCGACAAAAGGCGATCGCAATAGGTCACTTGAGACTTTGTCTCAGGTGACCTAAAAACCACTGCATCAGGTCGAAATACAAAACTGTCCGCACTGTACAGTACACGGCTACAGAATGACCCAACTACTATATAGCCACGTGTACCCGGCTATACTCAACAGCACGTGCTGCTTGCTTCCTCGTGCCGATAAGACAAATACATTTTTCTTTTCTTTTTGAACCGCGGGATTATTTGAATATCAACAAGGCCTTGGACAGAGTCAGGCTACTTTTTAAATTACATAAATTAGACATTGGGGGATTTTATTATCAAGGTTTAAATGTTATCAAAATAATTAGAAGCTCTGAGTGGATTGTTAATAAGTCTGGTGTTCCCCAGGGGGCAATTTTAGATCCTCTGCTTTTTTCTATTTTTATAAATGACATATTTGACAATATTAAAGTTAAAATAAAACTATTTGCTGACGACTCTTCCTTTTATGCAATAGTAGATACTTTGTATCAATGTGCAGATTTGTTGAATGACAGTTTCAGGAAAATATAGGCCTGGTCTGAAAAATGGTTGGTTAAATTTAACCCTGAAAAAAACTTATCTCTTTTGATTAGTAGGAATATTTATGAATGACGTTCCTGTTAATGAGGTTAAACAACACAAACATATAGGACTTTTTTCTCTCATGGTGGTACTTGGACAGATCACATTAATTATATGATAAAGAAAGCGTCTAATAAACTAGCCATGCTAAGACAATTTAGATTTAAAATAGACAGAAACTCATTTCAAACCTTGTATTTTCATTTGTCAGACCGATATACTTGAGTATGGTGATATCGTCTGGGATAACTTAACTATCCAACAGTCTCACTCTTTTGAGAATAATCAGCTTGAAGCTGCAAGAATTACAACGGGTGGTACTAAACTAAATTGTCATGCTAAACTTTACGGGGAAACTGGTTGGGACAGTCTTCAATACCGACGCAACGTAAAGAAAACAGTTCAGATACATAAAATGATTTTTGGCCCGACTCCCATCTAATTCCAAAATGCAGTATCAACGCTCAACAATATAACACACGTGTTGTTGAACTAACTTCTACAAGAAATCTTTTCTTCCTTTTTCTATTGACCTGTGAAATTCACTACCCCTAAATATTAAAAATAACCCCTCTATAAGTAACCTGAAAAACTACCTACAGTGTACATGAACACTCCTTTACAGCC